TAGGTGTGGCAAAGTTGCAGCAACAAACCATTAAGTTAATAAAGGTTTCTGAACACACTTGAATAACAAAACCAGTAATAAACAGAGTATTTTTTTCATGGTCTTGAATTGTTTTTCAAAACAACTGTGGGAGGAGTTCTTGAACACTCCCTCCTGAACCACAGGACAGCACAGGTGTTTAGGGGGTTAAAGCAGCTGCAGGAAGCTCCTGCACTCAGTCCTTTCCCTGGATCACAGGCAGCCTTTGGCCAGGGCAGTTACAAAACACACAAATCCTTCCAAGCTCCAGGGAGGCACCAGCCATGGCTTTTTCTTTCAGGTGTCCATTCATATCCCAGCACCTCCTGCCTCCCTCAGCTCCTGACATACCTCACTCAGCCTGCTTCAACTTCTATCATTCATTGCCTTCCAATGTGTTAATCCAACTCCCTAAGGTTATCCTGCAATAGCTTTGATTGGAGTCACTTCCCTATTCTGTAACTCATCTGTTACTATTTTATGAAGTACTTTGAACTGTGAACTGTTTATGATTTAGTAGGCAGAAAGTCACACCTTGGAGCCACTTGGCAAATGGGGAGAGGATAAGGGGCCATTCTCCAACTGTGATAAGACTGAAAATTAATTGCAAATTCAAAAGGGAGAATGCTGCTCCTATGCCAATGTTTTCCAATCTTGGTTTTGCATTTCTGTAGGCTGTACTCCTAATGAAATAAAGGGATGAATTTTAAACAGTTTACATAAACTAATGTTGTGAGAAGCAACTCACAGGTGTAGCTCACTCCCCGTTTCATGGGAGCTCATTTTCCCACTACATTACTGTAACACTTTAAAAGAAAGTTTTACCATAAAAACCAAAACCTCTTCTCAACAGTAAATTAATCTCAAACAATGTCAGTATTCTTCAGCCAAAAGAATGTCGTTTTTATTCTCTAGGGTAAGAAAAGTTTAAGATAACAAAAAAAAGCAGACACTTCATGACTGTTTGGCTTGAATAAAAATGGCACTGTATCATCACAAGGCTTTTGCTTATAGATATTCAGTCTTTTAATCTTTATTTATTCCCTTGACATGTGCCAGGACCTTAATGCAGCTCTGCTGCCTGAGTTTTCTGTAAACTTACCAGGATGTTGTGGTAAACAGCAAAGAAGCAAAAAAGAGCCACAGGCTGAGCAAGAAGCAAAACAGATTTTTTCAAGTTTAGGGAAAGTACTGCTGTAGAGACAGCAATAAATTACAAGGAAAGAATTTGCACTATTTTAACACTGACAAAGTCACCTAACTTGAAATTTAAATTCCTTCAGAAGATTGGTCACTTCTATCAAAATCCAAATGGGAAAAAAATAGTTCTGTTAAGGCAAACTTCTGAAATCTAACACAGATTTCAGAATTAATTAAACAAGTTCAGCCCAACAAAAGATTTCTGAATTTCAGATAAAATTAATCTTAATTATATAACATATGACACACAATATCTTAAAAAATAATGCAAAAATAACTCTGCTGAAATAAAGTTAATTTGTAAAATCAAACCAAGAGGTGTGCATACCTGTGAGTCAGATTCTACAATGATTTTCACTGCAATCCTATTGTGCAATGTTTTGAATTCTCAGGAAGTTTTTCATCTGCTAAAAGTCTTTTTCCATTTGCAAGACCCTAAAGACTGCAGTCACCCAATGTGACTGCGTTACAGCTCATTGGGTGATTGGACCAAAATGGCTATGAAAATACAAAGTTGCAACAAATGTTAATACAAGTTAGAAAGTATTTATCACATCACTGGCACCCTGCAGAAATACACAGCAAGGAGAGACTCCATCGTTCAAACAGAAGTCAGTCTCAAATCTATTATGATAATGCTTAAATAATGTCCATGAGATAAGCGGACAGACATTCTCTGCAGAAAAACGTATCCCAGCTTGGAGAACTTTTCAATATATTTAGGGGAGAAGAATTCTGACATGTCATGCTCAAGACTTGATAAACTGCAAATTGTACAGATTTACCACAATCTTAACCAAAGACTATTCGAGGAGGGCACTTACTTCTAAGTGTCTAGAAGACCGTAATTGTATTATGGCATTTTATTGTACTGAGAATATGTCTTTCATCACACATGTGGGAAAAAGCCCTGATAAACAAGAGAGGAAGTAAACCAAATGATAACTCTTGGCACATATCTATCTGCATAAATGGAAAAATCAAACAGGCAAGTTTTTGACCATTACAGATATTGCTCGCATCAAGAATAATCAAAATATGGACATCTTTTAGGTATTTCATTCTTACAGTGTCTTTATTGATTATAGTTAATCATATTCTTATGATGAACTAGTCAAGCAAAGAGCTTGGCCAGTACTACACTTGCCCTATACTAATGCACCTTCTTTCAATAACCCTGTATCACACCAGTGTTTTCTTTGAGTCCAGTTCATAGACAGCATACTCCAAACTATTCCAATAAAATTTTACTTAAGTAAATTTTTTCAGAACAAGCAGGAGTCGCGCGAGTAAAGAACAGAAGCTTTTAAACACTAACAAATACTCTGTAACACTGTATTCTTCAGAAAGCTCCTAATACATCAATTTTTTTTAGCCACGTCAGAAAGATACTTCCTAAATCTCCCGACCATTCCACTGGAGCACATCTCATTCAAGCTTCTCAGGACCACCCCAAGGATCACATAGAACAGAGCATGCTGCCTGTAGTAATGACGCAAGGAGGGGCGTGTGCACCGAAAGCCGCAAGCACACCAAGTACTCGCTGTTCCAGAGGCACAGAGTCCCCACGGCTCCGGGAGCCCCGGGCAGGTGCGGGGCAGGCAGAGATCCCGCTCCGCCCGGACCCGCGCTCTGCACAGACAATGTTTGCTTTCCACACCGCACCGAGCAAATACAGCGCAGCCAACGCCTCCACGTCAATTTAAAAAATGGGTAAAATAATAATTTATTTAGTAATATTTCCTCTCCTACGCTGCTGAAGGCTAACAGTGACGGGAAATAAGCTCCATCTTTCTTTCTTTTTTTTTTTTTTTTTTTTTTTTTTTTTTTTTTTTTTAAAGAAAGCAGAAAACCCGCTCCTGAAGCATTTCCTGATAGTTATCCACCCCAGGTTCAGATCCGGGACACGGATGCCGGTCACACCGGCGGCTGTGGGGGCCGAGGGGGACACGCCCGGGGGCTCCGCTGCTGCCCCAAAGCTCCGGCAGGCAAAGCCGCCTCAGCCCGGGGGGCAGCGCCGCGCACCGAACCCCGGCCGCCGCCGGCCCGCGCCCCTCCCCGCGGCCCCGGCCGCACCGCACCCGCCGCTCCCGGCCCCTGGCGCTGCCCCCAGACCTTCTCCAGCGAGCCGTCCATGGCCGCGGGCCCGGCGCTGCCCCGGCCGCTCCACGCTGGCAGCGCTGACGGGGCCGCGCGGGGCGGGCCGCGCTCGCGCGCTCACCTGGGCAACCGGCCCGCCCCCCGCCGCACGCACCACCGCGCCGCAGCGCCGGGGGGGTGCGCTGCGGGCACACTGCGCACGGCGCGGCGGGGCCGAGGGCCGGCCCTTCGCTCCACGCAGCGCCTGAGGTCGTTCCCCCCCACACCGGCTAGTGGAACAGTCCCGGAGAGAGGCCGGGGGTCAGTGACAGATCCTGGCGCATGCGCAGAGAGCGCGGTCCGAGCAGCGATGGGCGCCGGTTCTGGAGCGGAGCTGCGAGTCCCGGGTTCGAGTCCTCGCCGCGGCGGGCTGTGCCAGGCCGGACCCCGGCAGGGCGCTGCGTGGCTCCAGCCTTCGCGAACCTCTCGGCTGTCACCCCACTGTCGCCTGCGGTGGCACCAAAGCCTTTCCTCCACGTACGGGTCCCGCGCCGGAACGCTGCACAACCGCGGCGGACAGCACGCACCTGCCCGTGGGCTCCCGTCCGCAAACAGCCCCCTAACCCTAACCCAAACCCAAACCCTGGGCTTTTCCTGAGCTTTATTTCTGCTCTTCCAAGCTGGAGTTACTTTTCGGTACATATCCCTGGTCCTGTTAGTGCCAGTGCTGTTATTTGATAGCACTGTTTGCAGCTGGCATTGTCCGGCACAGGGATGTGTTGGGCTGAGGGCCGGAGAGGGCCGCCCCCGAGCCTGACACAGCGTGCCCGCCGAGCGCTGGGCGCTGCTCTCTACACTCTTATTAAAGCTTACTTACATCTACAGGTCACCCATGCCTGGTTTTAGTCCTCATGGAAGAATTCATTATAGTTTCAAAGGCGTTAATCCAGGTCACAGAGCGAACTTCCACCTCCTGCCTGGAGATGGTTCCCTCAGTCAAGCCTGAGCCCATTGACAGGAGCAAGGGGAAGCTCCCGGCGCTCCCGGATGCGCTCCTTTCCTTCTGTGGCCAAGGTCTTGCAGGACACCTCACTACGTGGACTTCAGATCTGCTTTGTGGCACTGGTTCTGTGCGTGCAAAGCTGTGTACATGAGTCTCTTCAATAATCTCTCATCACTTGTGCCTTTCTCCTCAAGTTGTCTCAGCAGCAGAGGGCAAAGCAGAGGAACCCCACAGGCTGCTGCTGCTCAGCAGGTGTGCACCGGCCCTGCTCAGGCTGCAGAACAAGGGCAAAACTGAAAAGAAAAAGCCATAACCTACTCATGTAAGCACGAAACAAGGAAATAATTACAAAAAAGATAATAAGGAAGCAGTGCCTAGTGTTAATTTGTCGCTCAATAGTTGCAGCACTAATCATAGTGATCCATGATGCTACTTAGACCAAAGCCCAGGCAACACGGCCACGAACATATTCGGGGTGAATGCACCTGAGGGGTGAAGGCACTTGAGAAGCGAGCCCACGAGATGAAACCCGGCTGCCCGGCCATCACCCGCGGGTCATCCACCACCCACCGGGCCCGGCGTGGGGAGCCGGCCCTCCCTGGCGGAGGGAGCGCTCATGGCGGGGCCGTGAGAATGGCGAGGCGGCGGCGGGGCCGGGGCGGCGGCGGGCGGGCCCGTGGCAAGGGGGAGGAGGAGGAGGAGAAGGAGGAGGAAGAAGAGGCGGAAGCGGCGGCGGGCGATGGCCGGGGCGCTGCAGCGCGGGGTGCGGCGCTTCCCCTGGCTCTGCAACGTGCTGCTCTACGGGGGGCTGTTCGCGGCGGGGGACGCGGCGCAGCAGCTGCTGCGGGGACAGCCGCCCGACTGGGCGCAGACGCGCCGGGTGGCGCTGGTGGCCCTGGCCTTCCACGGCAACTTCAGCTACGTGTGGCTGCGGGCGCTGGAGCGGGCGCTGCCCGGCCGCCGCCCGCCCGCCGTGCTGGGCAAGGTGCTCTGCGATCAGCTGCTGGGCGCGCCCGTCGCCGTCCTCGCCTTCTACACGGGTGAGTGCCGGGGGCTCCGCCGCAGAGCCCCGCGCATCCCCCACACCGCCTGCAGCGGCAGCGGCCCCGCACCGCGCCCCGCGCCGGGCTCGGACAGCGCAGCGGCACCGGCACCCACCGCACGGGGCCGGTGCGTGGGGACCCCGCCCGCCCGGCGCGGCTCCGCACCCCAGAGCGCCGCTGCCCGGGCGCTCGGAGCGGGGCCGCGGCCGGGGGGCTCTGCAGACCCCGGCAGGTGCCCCCGAGGATGCCGAAGCGCCTGTGGCACTTCAGAGCTGTCCAGGAGCGGTGCTGGACCAAAGGAGGCCTGTCCTGAGCTCGGTTGGGCGCGTAGCTTTTAATTAGCAACTAAGAATGCAGAGCACCTTACACGGATGGCAGCATCCATGTCTGTTTGAATTGTTGTGCTCATTCTCAGCATCAGCTGCCTCATTTTCCAAAACACAGCTGTAAATGTCAGGAAATGCCATCGTTCAGCCCACCAGCTTCTGCTGTGAGAGTCTTTAGAAATAAAGTGTGCTACTAATGGCTAATCTCAAAAGCTAACAAGTAACAAGATACTCTAAAGAAGGCTAGTATCTATTTCGGAAATAAACATGAGGGAATAAGAAAATTAATAGGTAAGACTAATGTAATTAAATGCTCTCATTTAACTTAATGTGTTAGCCACTAAGACAGGTCCTCTTTTTGTCTGGGGCTAGGAGATCTGCATTCTATCACTCCAACAGGGAAATTACTCAATTTGTGATTGAAGAGAAATGAAGCAAGAAAAGAAGTCAAATATCAGATACTTCCTCTCAAAATCTTAACTATGTTATAACTTAAGCTGGAAATTACCCAATGACCAGAAGGATCTGAAGGACCAGAAAAGGGATTGTAAAAGTCCCTGAATTGGGTAGCAGTAAAATAATGTATCCATTGAGAGATACTGATAACCCCAAGACATGGGAATTCCTAGAAAGATCCAGGAGTTGGACTAAGGAGCCTCTGCTTATGTGCTGAATGCTTTATTCTCTCTCTCATGGGTGCAACAGGTGCTGTTACCCTCTCTGTTCCACCACTGCATCACTGGTGTGTGGTATGGCAGAGAAACAGATGCCACAACACCTGTACACCCAGTAAATCCCAGCTGATCTCGGGTGTCAATTCAATAGAGGAGGAGATTTGATCTACCACTATTAGGTAGTCAGAATGGTATTTTGGTAATGATATCAGCCTTTTTTTTTTTTTTCAAAGATATTATAATGTATTTTGAGAAGGGTCCGGGATGTCACTGGAAAATGTGAACATTTCACTTTTTGCATTTTTTCTGATTCTTGTAAATATTTTACCACTAGGTATGAGCATCCTTCAGAGGAAAGAGGACATCTTTTCAGACTGTAAAAAGAAATTTTGGAATACATATAAGGTGAGGCAAGCAATTTGCTTATCTCACAGCTAAAAAAAAACAACAAAAGTGTAAATATTCCTTTCTCCAACACTCTTTTTTTACTCTTTCTTTCTTTCACTCCATTATTTGATTATGTGTAGGAAGCTATAAGTACCAGCAGTAATGGGAAGTAAAGGCAGTTTGGGTTAGGCAGTGATGCCAGATGGGTGACACTGTGCCATTTAAAAAATGAAATGTACAGTGTTTATATACACAACACTTGACACAGCTCTGTTTGAATGCCAGCCTTACAATACAACACTGATTCAGGTTTCTTTTATCTTTTGTCTTAAGAGGTACCCACATACCAATGTTTAGTTAGTGATACTACTAGCAACACATGTACACCTATTAAAATAATTCATTACAGATAAACCTTCTTTGAGAATAATTTTTAGTCTGTACTTTTCAGTGACAATCTACTCACTTTCAGAAACAAGCCCCCTTGTTTTAAGAAGGCTTTGCTATAAACAGCTGCCTTTGATTTGCATTTCTGCATAGGCAAGACAAAATTATCCCTGCTACCTCAGAGCTGAGCAAGCTGAGAATGTTAAAGGTTTCTCAGATGCAAGAAGAATGATGGATGGATTAGCAGGGAAAAAAAGTAATAGGAGAAGGTGTGATTGCAATGTGAATTTCTATTCATATTGTAGAACTATATAGGTAGGATGGAAAAGGATTATTTTTATTCCTATGGAAGATGATTCTAAAAGCAGTGCCCACTATAGCCTATCAAAACATAAGGTTTCTATCAGCCTTATGTTATATGAGTAAATTATCCATTGATTTTTCTAAATATGCCTTACGTGTATGAGTAAGTAGAAGGAGCATTGCAAGTGTGAAATAAATAGTGTTCAGTGGTATTTTTCATTAATGGCTGAAACAAATGTTCACATGTTTAAACATTTGTTCACCCATCTGGTAAATGCATTTATTGTGTCTGGTGTCAGATATCTGTGAAGACTTAACTGTGCTTAGGGTTTTGTATTTAAAATGAGTTAAAATAATATGCAAAAATAATATATAAAATAATATGTTTGAAAAACTCAGAGCATAGAGGCTCATGAAGATGACTGGAAGTTTAATATGGCAACCTCTAGGTTAAGCAACTCCATTTGTAATTAAACAGCTTTTATTACTCAAATACATTTCGGTCATCACTGAATGTGGAAAAAATGAATCTTGGTGAGCATAAGAATAACAAATGATTCGTTTTCCTTTCAGACAGGACTGATGTACTGGCCTTTTGTGCAGGTGAGTTCTCAGGGTGACACTGTGAGCCTTTCCCTGCCATAGAACCCAGTCCTGTGCAGCCACACTGTGTCTGACCCCAGGAGGAGCAGTGCACTTGTTGGGTGGGTAACAGTGCCTGGAGCACTAACTGAGCTCTCTCTCCTTCCCACACAGCTGTCAAACTTCATTTTGATCCCAGTTCACCTGAGAACAGCTTACACTGGGCTCTGTGGCTTTGTCTGGGCTTCCTTCATTTGCTTTTCCCAACAGAGTGGAGATGGCACAGCAAAGTCAGCCTTCATGTGGCTCCAAGGAGAGAAGGTCAATGCAGATGAAGAGCCATCAGAAAAATAAGAACTTTAGTTCTGAACACATTCTAAATTGCTAAACTGGGTTTGTGAAAGTCAGTAAATCACACTGCAGCCTCATTGTTGTGTTTAAAATAAGCAGTTATCTCAACATTTGGTGGTTAGTATAAGCAGTGGAACAGTTTGTCTTTGTGCCTGTTCATTTTTCATAAAAGAGGCCAGTTGTATATTGACATTTAATTATTTTCATGCTGTCAGCCCATCTCATCTGGAAACAACTGACTTACAGGGCAATGTAAGCATTTGTACATCATGTCAGACTGCCTCACTGGGGAGAAATATTAACTGTAATTTAATTTTCAAGCAACTTGTAATTGCTAGAAAAAGGAGAATAGAACATTAAATCATCAGTTGTCGCACTTGACAATTGTTATCAATGCAAGATCACTTTGCAGAACAAAATTTAATGGATTTCATATCTAAAAAGTGGCATTGAATTTGTTTAATTGAGAGGAAACAAAAGTGCTGTGTTTGTAAACCCTACATTTCTATGGAGCCAACTTGTTTTATTCTACATGAAAATTTATATAGGAAATTAATTATTTCATAGAATATACAAACCTGGACTGTGTTTGTACATGTTTTATCTTAGCTGGGGGAATAAAGATTACTTTGGTCAGAACCCTTTGGGGTGGGTGCTGCCCATTGCCCCTTGGGGTCAGTCATGCAGCTCCTGCACAGTGGAACCCTCCCCAGCACTGCAGGGAGCTTTGGTTCTGTGTGCAGCCACTGCTTCCTTTGCTCCTCAAGGGTCATGGGAGTCTTGACTCCTCTACTCTTTTCAGCTGTTTCATCATGCTGAAGAGATAATCAAAATTTTGAAGGAAAAGAGCATGGGAAGGAAGGTGGCATGAATAGCAGAAGCCAGCTATATGTATCAGGAACTTCCATTTTTTCCTCAAATGGCTTTTAAACATTCCTATTCATAGAAGACACTGGGTAATTATACATAGGAGACTAGGAGAAGATGAAAATTAATTTATGGATTTGCTTTGTCAGGTCTGGATACGGGTATTTTTAAAATGTGCATATGTATCTCAAAAGCGGAACTGTGCAAATTTCTATGATTGCAGTAAGCTGAAATCAGGCAAGTAAAGGAGCCCTTGCTATATTAGAATGGGATTTTATGCCTTGAAGTTACTAAATTGTAAGCTTGAAAGAGTGTCTGATTTAATGGGTCTGATTCTAAAGAGAAGACTCATCCCTCTGTTACAACAATAATAAACCCCTCTGAGGAATGTGTGAATTCCTCAGCCTTGTCTAAATAGTGTACCAAAGCCTGCCTAGGCAATAAATATCCATTCTTTTGGCCAGCAACTGTACTGCTTTGTATATTGCTAACAATTACTTGTCACTGTAGGAGCACAGTACAGGTTAGCTGAGAAAGGAAAAGGGATCATGCAAGCACTGCCCAAATCTATTTCAGGTAAAAACAACTTGTTTAGCAAAACCTAGTGGTAAGGAGTGATGCAAAGTGCCCACATGGCTTTGGCCAGAGGACTGCAGCAGTGGGAGGAGGGGAGAAGGCAGGGGGCTGCTTCCACAGCCTGTTCTGTTCTGCTGGCAGGCAGGTGGAGCAGGTGCCTTCCCTCTCAGCGTGGACAAGTCGCTGCAATTCCATCTTCAGCTGTACAGGCAGATGTGGAAGAGCACACCTGCCTACAGCCTCAAGGTAGAATTAATTTTAATTGACTTTTGACACCCTTGGCATGGACATCTCCAGCTTGGCTAAGTGTTTTAACTCTGTATGTTGAAATGTGCACTGAAGGGCCCATTTCTGTCCCTCTGTGACATGGAGGCTCAGGTGAGTGGCTGCTGTGTCAATAGCTTGTAGAAACTTATATTTGGTGAGTTGAATTCCCCTGCTGGATGTTGCTGCATGAATCACAAAGTGTGAATTGAGCAGTCCTGATGCTGGACATCCCAGGAGGAGTAGAAATGCACAGAGGAACTAACTGAATTTTGTCCGTCTATTTAAAAAATGAGTGAACAGATGCTTCAGACAGCCATAGCTGTTCAACTGTTCTTGTGTGTATAAAGTCCTCAGGATAAAGAAGCAGTTTCAGTAGTGTTTTTTTCTGTTGATATTTTTGGAATCAAACTGGTATTCTAAAGTCTATTCTGTTTAGTAAGAGCTAAAAGTTTCAGGTAAGGTGTTCTAATTAAGTATTTAACTTTTTTTTTAGACATGCTATTTATTTTTATTTCTGCTCGTGCCTTAAGTGTTTAATGATTAATAGCATTCACTTGAAGAAGGGAACTGGAAAATAATGTCATTACAAGGGGAGTGAAATGCTGTTGTTTGCTGTAAGTAGTATGTGATATTTTGCTGTAACTCAGAGCAAAAAATCTTTCTTCATGGGTATGGTAGGTGAAACTGAATTTCCAGATGAATCAAGAATTTATAACTCATGATCTGTATAATGCTGATGCCTTTTTTCATCAGGACTAACCCTTTAAAAAAAGATCCATCTTTTACTTTAAATGGCTTAGAAGCTTATACAAGCTGTGCTTTATTGCTCTTGCTTTTGTGCTGCCAGATTTCTGCTTGGGAATTTGAGCTAAATCTTGTTTTGTCTTCAAGTTTCTCTGGCTGGGGAGTTCAGGATTTCTCTCCATCTTTTATTACTTGAAGTACAGTTCTTTCATGTAATGGAAGCCTGTGGCTCTTATGTTTCAGTAGACTTTAGATCCTGCATAATCCTTTCACTTTCTCCATTTCTCTTGTTAAGGCACTTGACAGCTAAGTAACACAAATCCCTTTTCACATCAGAAAATTTGTGGTTTTTTCCTTTTAATTGTGAGCACTGATTGGTCTGACAAACATTTCAGACCCACAAAATGCAAAATAATGAAGCTGCGTTGGGACAATTTCTCAGTGTGCGTAAATTAATGGACCTTCTAAAGATTTTATTCTTCTGACAGTTTATGAGGACTTAATCCCTTAGTTGTTAGAGCCTTCATGATTCCTTGATACCTTTTTGGATTACAAGATTAATTTCACAGGATAACAGAATAGTTGAGTTTGGAAAGGACATCTGTATGCCCATCCCAGGTAGTCTAGTCCAACCCTATTTGACACATATGTAAACTTTAGTTTGCTTCTTCTAACAACTCAGTAATTTTCTGGGGGAATAAAAAAAGAAATAAGAAAAAGATGGGTGAGATTTATCCTAATGTCTCTCTGCTACCCTTTCAAAAACAGTCATAAGGGCTTTATGACTATTTCCAGGAATTGCACTGATCTTACTGCCAGCTGAACATGCAGGTTTCCACAACCAGCAGGATGAACAGAATTTTACATCACGTAGGTGCTCAGAAAGGAGCAACACACTGCCAGTAGCTATTAGGCCTGCAGTCAGGTGATATTTTTATGTCATGGATCCTCTCTAAGAGCAAATGGAATGCACAGATATTTATATCAGTTCCAGCTCCATGTTATTCTGGATGGCTGTGGAGATGTGGAGTCTGAATTTGGTAAAATGAGAATTTCAAAATTTATTTTTCTACTGCAAATCTTTTATGTAAATGAACCTTCTGTGCTTACTAGTATGCTAAATACATCCTTCTTGGAAAATTCACCAGAAAGCCTCTATCTTTTCACACCAGAAGCACCCACCCAGTAACACAGCATAAAATAACCAGTTCCTACTGCAGTGAAGGTGAAACTGCCTCTAGTCTGTTACCATATCTGATATATTGAGTTCTCTTTATAGAACAACCTTTGAAATCTATGCAGCTTCAGCCTTCCAATTCTCTGCTCTAAGTGCCAGCGCTTCCTGCTTGTGCTGCTGCCTCTACTGCTACTGCCAATCCAGTGAGATGTGCAAGAATTACTTGAATTTTACTAAAATAATGAATTTCAAGCTGACTGAAATTGTCTATGTTTTTGCAAAGGCTTAATAAACATTAAATGCTGTTCTTTGGCTCTGTCTATCTTTAACTCATATGTGTATAAAAAAAGCCAGATCTTATGTAAAGTTCTTATTGGATCTTCATGGACCACATGCAACAAAAAGCTCATTTGATGTCACAGACCTTAACACACCAGCAGAATAAAAACCAAGGAGGAATTATTCACTCCCTTTAGAGTTTACATACATTAAGGCATCTGTCATTTCTGAATAAATTCAAGCAGAACTCCCATCTTTAGTATCTTATGCTGAAGCCAGTGGACTCTTATTAAAAAGATGTACAATTTTGATATAAGCATTTCTTAAATAATTAATATATTTGCAGAAGGAATGGAGGAGTTCAGGTAGGAAAAAGATATAAACAACTTTTATAGAGAACAGAGGCTAGAAATGGGGTCCTTACTGAAGGACTTAACTCAGTCAAGTTTGTGTAGGATACTCTTGAGAAGGAAATGGTTCAGAAGATTTGAGGCTGAAGGGAGTAATATATTCCACAACTGGAAGAGAGACACCACCTCCATTCCCTGTTGTAACTTCTTGTCTATTTAGAATGAGGAGGAAGCTTTATGGTAAGAGTTCAGGTTGAAAAATTCTGTTTCATAGACTTCAAGGCCAACAGGGAGAAAAAGGATCACTCAGTCTGAATCCTTGGGTAATGCAAAGCAAAGAGTTCTTCCTGAATCAAACCAGTGATGTTGACTCCAATGCCAGCTTCTAGGAACTTATCCAAGCACTTCAAGTAACAGAGGGTTCTGTGTCTCAAAGAAATTATTTATGTGTTCTTATGAAATTTTATTACCTACCCACATCAATCTAGCCTTAACATTCTAATGAAATGTTACTCCCTTTCTGAGAAGACTTAAAGACTAGGTACAGCAGGCAAAGCTTTATGTGTGCATGTAGTGGTAAGCAGAGTTTTTGTTTATTCCTTGGATAAACTGTCTGTTATCCCTTTGCTATATCATTCTTCTTGAAGCTCATTTGCAGACCCGTTTGCTGTGCAACCTCTAATTTTAAATGTAGACAGTTATGCTGTATAAATCCCAGTGACTTTCACATATGCCTCAGATAATATTTTTCTATCTCTGCCTAATATTCCTGTTCTAAACCAGCCAAGGACTGCCTGTCCTCTCTTAATGTCCAAGTTGCACTAAGAACTCGCATGCACTTACTAAGTCCACAATGTCTGAAGTTACTGTAGTCCATTTTAAACAAGAACAAAGAATGCAGATTACATGTCTGTATGCATATAATAAACACTGCCTTCCCTTTTTCTGCAGTTAATTTGTTGTGGTAGTGCTTAAAAATCTTACACCTTGTATCCAGATAGAAAAACAGTTTAGTGCAAAGAATATAGCAGAATGCATCATTCCCTGCTATGCAACACTAATAGCAATTACACCTTTTTGTGCTGAAAGAAATCTTGGGCCTGGAAAAGTCTAATGAGGTGTGAAGTAGGGCCAGAAAAGACATTGTCAAGGACAGCTCTACTGTAGCAGCAGGTATGTGAGACAGTTCAGGAACTGAAGAATTGGTGGGTTTGTTTGCTGTGTTCAGGGAAAACCAGTCCTGAAGTGGGGCTGTAAAAGAACAGGGGAAAAATGACAGCAGGTGAGTGTGCACACACTTGGGGGTTATGTAAGTGATGGAACAGGGACACCTATGCTAGTGCTCCCCTCTGCCAGAAAACCTTAAAAATGGGATATTGATAAGTCACCCTTTCCATTTGACACCCTCAAGACTGACAGAATCAGAGAGACCAGGAGGGAGCATGGGTATGTAGCCTGGTAGGTAGTTCAGTCACCAGAGATACCGAGACAATGGAACTGGCTGGGAATGAGAACAGTTCCCCATTTCTGTGCTTTATCCAATACAACAGAACCAAAATGCACAAGCACCCAGATGGCTGTGATAAATACAGGGTTTGGCCCATATGGACTCTAACCATGCACACAAAGTTCTGCACCACATGAAATCCTTTATCTGTGGAGGAAGTATCAGCTTCATTCTGAATTGTGTGTCCTTTTACAGGGTGTGACTTGGTGGCAGAGTAATTTAAGTTACAACTCTTCCCTGGAATTAGTATCTTACTGTAGCTAATGTGCACTTAGTGTGTGCATACATAAGAACAAACTCTCATTATTCTTTCCTTGATTTGCCAGGATAGCAGCTTTCCTCTCATGTCTCTAATATTTGGGAAAGAAAATACGAATTTTGATGATTCCTTTTTCCACTTCTAGTTGTTTGTTTTTTCCTGTTCTGGGCTGGCCTGGAGAAATCTACCTCTGAGAGGCTGGTGCCCTGTGATATTCTTGTTTTGCCATTGCTTAAACCACCTTTACTTACCTACTAAGGGTGTTCAGCTGCTTCCATTTCATGCATCACATGCTTTTACATCCAAAATGTAACAAGACTGTTAACTGCAGCTGATTAGCCATGGCATGCCAATGACACTGAAGGATTTTGTATTAGTCCTACATCTCGTTCAGAATGGTCATTAGACAGTAATGAATTATTATGTGTTCATAACTATACCTGATACATCATGGCAATTACCCATACAGTGTTTTGCTTACCGTTTTGGGGCAGAAATTGGCAAAAATCCAATGGAACACAGGTACAAATATAGAGAGAAACTCATATTGTAAAGAAACCCTTTCAGAGGTCAGGACAGTGATTTTATAGCTTCCAGTTCCAGTGAGGGGAGTAGTGAAATGGCCCACAGAAGTGAACTTGCCTGTTAGGATGCAGGGGTAATGGAGCATAGACACTGCACAGGGACATGCATCAGCAAGACTCTTTGGGTGCCTCACAGCTTTCAGGCAGTTTTGAGTTCTCTCTGTAAGATACCAACTTGTATAGGTAAAATGGAAGCTTACAGAAAGTCACCTTTACATTTTGGACTGTGTGAAATGAGAAAAGGCTCAGGCCCTGCAAGAGCTGTGCCTGGAGCTGTGTGCTGCTGTCTTTGCAAAATTTACACAGGATGTTTATTACTTCAAAATGCCCACATACATGCTGAAATATTACTTGTTGCCTGCTGTGTTTGCAAGTCTAAAATAGCCCAGACCAATTTATCTCAACATCTGAATTTACTGAACTCAAACATCTGTTTTTCCTTTGTAACTATGGACACCCATCACTGATGCAAAAGCCACCTGCATAGTGACTCACCTGCACAGCAGTCAGTCCAGTCATACCACTGGACTTGGCTCCAAATGCCAAAAATAAGACTCTTACATAGGCAGCTTCACTACCCATGGTATTAGTAATGTGTCTGACAAATGCTATAGCAGCAGCTTCTGTGAAATTTGTACCTTAAAAAGACAGTGAACGTAGAAAGAATTCACTAAGACAAAAGTAAAATGGGAAAGAAAAGAGTTTAGTGAAGTATGTTTCTGAAATCTCTGTTTTGGTCAGAACTGCAGCTTTTGAAGTGCACAGATTGTTTCCATGCTTTCTACCAGACATTTATGCCCTGAATCTTTGCTGCTGTATCTCCCAAATTTGTGCTATGTATTCTGACAAAAAAAATAGCTGAGATAAATCTAAATAAGTCATGTCTGCCATGGGGCATCTGTGATGCCTGACAGAGGCCTGGGAGCAAGAGACAGGAGAGTGGATTTGCCAACTGTTCCTGCCCAGATCTAGCTCCTGGTGGCAGGATTTAGTGAGAAATGGGAACTGAAGCCACCAGGGAAAATTACTGCAAGAGCAAAGTGCAACTCTGTTTCTCTACTAGGCATTATGTTATGAGCAGTGAGAAGAGGTCCAAATTTTTGTATTTTCTGCATTAACAGCGCTTTCAGCAGAAGAAAACCAGCCTTCATGAGTAAAGAAATGCATTTATAATTTATATTGCTAGGTCCACTGAAAGACATGATCAGTAGGAGAGAAATTTAATTCCATTGACAAATACAGCACCAGCAATGCTCCAGAGTCACACTAATAAAAATGATGATATTACATTAGCAAATAATTCATACATACTTGGGACCTACTCTTGCAAAAACTTTTGTGCCAATGACCTCAGAGGGGTGGCTTCCACAAAATTGTTCTTATGTGTAACACTCTGTAGAACTGGATCCTTACCAGATTTTGTGACTTTTCAAAATGGTCAGATGAAAACTTCCTAATTACAATAAATCACCTTTTATATTCTTTGCTTTATGTAAGCAAATTCTTTGCACACGAGTTTTTGGCTAGTGGGTGTTTTTCAGCCATACTAACAAAAGCAGAGCTTTAAATATCCAACTATTTCTAGGATAACTCCCCCATCTCCTAAACAATGCAATTGGGTTGTAATTACCTAGAAAACTTGAAAGGATGGTTTGAAATTAAATAGTCCTCAAATTCACTAAAAATTGGCCCTTCTCCCCACTCAGCCTGTTTCCCTTAGTCCCACTCTCATCCAGATCCCAGATGGACTCTTATTCCTCCCACACTTGTGTTCCTCGCTTCTACCAGTGAGTCAGTCCAGCCCACCCCAGCAGGCAGCTGCACTGTCACCCAAAATCAGCTGTGCAGAGTCCTGCCACCAGCTTTTCTGCTTGACTCACAGCTCTGTTTGGGCTCTGTCTCCAAAGGCCAAAACCAGCGAGGATGAGGCACTGCACAGCCAACAAGAGCTGTTCCAGCACGTCTGGTGCTCAATTCACGGCATGTCTCCGGGGAGCACAGCTGACAGAGAAATCAGAGTGCCCTGAAGATGTCCTAAAACTGTCTAGCTCGTCTTGTTGGCTAATTCCAATTCTCAGGAAGACAAGTAGAGAAATTTTCTGTTACAATTTTAAAAGCAATGTGGAGGTTTTCTCGTCTCTGACATGTGATACATTCCTCAAACAAAATTGTTCACGCAATAGAATCAGTGTGTGCCAGTCCAATTAGTAAGTGTACCACTGAATCCAGAGGTGATTTTTTTGAAGTGTCGATGATTAAGGACAAGACTTTGCAGACAAAAATAGGTGACAAACCAGTGAGCTTTCCCAGCATTCACTCAGAGTAC